AACCATGATATACACAGTTACAAAGTTATTCACTATTGAGTTTTAGTCAAACAATATTCTGACACCTGTCTCTTAACCAGTGTATATTTTCACTACCAATATTCCAAGTTTCCCTCCTACCACCATCTATAGCCCAGCCTGCCTCAATGGCAGGAACTTTTCATATTTCTGTCTCTGTCTGTCTGTCTGTCTGTTTCTCTCTCCTTTTAGGCAATATGTATTATATTTGTTGGACCAATTTAGAAAAGTCCAGTGAAAACCAAGTTCTTTGTGTTAACCAAAGATTACATATTACATATCCTTTGAAAATACTACAATCTCCAGAATATTCTTGTATAGGTTTACCTTGCTATCTGAAAATAGAATTTTTTCTATGAAACTCTTTGTAATCTGAAATGGTGTGGAACAAAGAAGCAATTCTACTACATTAAAAAGATTTTTATCATTACAATACCCTCCAAATAATCTATGCTATCAAATAACACATAAAATCTAAAATCACTCTAACATATAGTAAAAACAAAAACTACACAACTTGGACAAAGTAATGGCAGGGAAGAAGCTTGGAAGTGCCCTTCCTAACTTATGGTATGTATCTTGGGACACACTGCACCTGGAAAGGCTTGCTACAGAACAAACACTGAACACTAATGTTACTTTATGACTTTGCATCATTTACAGAAAAATCAAAATCTCCTTTGAAATTCTCACAGGATTTTTATAAAAGCACAATGGGGTAATGTGAACTTTTATAAAGCCTGAAACAGACATATTGCACAGCATAGCAATTAAATATTACCATTGAAGGAGTCATTTGTAGGGCAGACTATTCCGACTTCACACATGGAGAGTTTGCCCTTAAAGGAACACACCATTTTTATTCTAAGTATGAAATTTTGGCTCGGTTACTATCCCGAGAAGCTTCTCCTATATTCTGAATATTTTTAATAAAATTGTAGATCAAGGTAAATTTATTCAGATGTTATAGATTAGAGGAATAGGTCTATGTGAAAGTGGCTTATGAAAAATGCGACTTTTAAATTTCCCCTTGGACCCATAGCAATTTATCTAGGAAACATTGTGAGTTCTCTGACCTGGAAGGTAAGTAACTTGCTCCTAGAAACTTTAAATCTTCTGCAGAGGAGGAGCCAGTGTTATCTCTTGGGCTCCGAATGGCTTGTGCTATGCCTTCAAACTGTAGCATTATGCATCATGCTTCAGGGAGATGATGGTATGAAGTACAATGCAACTAACCAGTTTCTTTAGGAACAAAAATCATTGGGTATATGGGGGATTACATGAAAAATTAGCTGCAACTCTAATTGTAGGAAAATACTGGAGAGGTGTCCAAATAGTAAGGGAAACAACTTTCTTATTCTTAGAGTTTTTCAACATTTCCTTTATTCACTGTCTATCAGGCTCTTACTCTGTGGCAGACACAGTTCTAGATACCGAGGATGGGTAGAAAGCATCATAGAAATCATTATGTTCTTGGGTTTACCCTCTTTGTACATCATCATTATTGTTATTATTATTATTATTTTCTTTTTGGGTTACACCTGGCAGTGCATAGGGGTTACTCCTGGCACAGCAGTCAGGAATTATTCCTGGCGGTGCTCAGGGGACCATATGGGATGCTGGGAATCAAACTGGGTCGGCTGTGTGCAAGACAAATGCCCTACCTGCTGTGCATCATTTCAGCTCCCTCTTTATATATTATTTTAAGTTTTTGTTCTATTTTGATTTTTCTTCCAAATAGCACAGCAATGGTTGGAGGATGCTCTCAATTCTGTGCTTAGGGGATAATTCCTAGTGGTGCTTGGGGGACCATGTGGAGCTGAGGGTCAAAACTTACCACTATTGCATATTAAGCATGTGTTCTATCCCATGAGCTGTCACTCAAGTAGATCTCACTCTCTTTGATCAGCACTGTGCTGTGGACATAGAGATGAATAAGGTCTAGTGAGGGAGAAGAGTAATAAACTGTGGGGTTACCTCTAAAGGGTGATTCCTAGAGAATATTCTCCAAAATGGCTGCTGAAAGACAATGTTATACTGTTCAGAGATGCTTATCAAGGGTCATTTCAGGCAGACAGAACATTTTCTTTTTTCCCCAAGGCCCACGGAGGTTGAAAGAAACTGCAAGTCTCCAGTATGACTAGCTGGTTGGAAGGATGAAACTGGAAAAAATAGAGAAGGAGTGGGTCATGGAGTATCTTATGACATAGTTTTATACTCTCCTAGGACATGTGACATAGTTTTATACTCTACCCTAGGACAAGTGACAATCTTATACTTTACCCTAGGACATGTGACGTAGTTTAATACTCTACACTAGGACATGTGACATAGCTTTATACTCTGCCCTAGCACAGTTGGAAGCTCGTGATCTATGTCAATCAAGGAATAACAAGGTCAATTTTCAATTATAGATAATAGAAAGAATGGACTGAAAGGGGTAAGACTAGCAGAAAGAGCTAAAAGGAGAAAGCTGCAGGGATAAACCGATGAGTGATGATGTGGCTTAAGCAAAGACCATAAACATGTAGAAAACCAGGGTATATTTGAGAAACGTTTCAGAAGTGATTGCCTGAAAGTGGGTGGTAAGGATGAGGGTGGAATTGTAGATGAGTCCCAGGTTTTGGCATGGGAAACTGTACAGAAAATGATGCCAATCACCAGGAGATGAGGACAAAGAGAAAATTCAGGATAAGGAGCTATGAGTCTTTCAGTTTAGAGCATATTGAGTTTGTGGTGTCTAGGGGATGGTTAAGTGGAGGTGTTCGGTATTAGTCAAATATATCTACAAAGAGCCATGGTCTGACAGTATCCACATGTGGGTGGTTAAATTGGGGGACGGAAGCCTGGAAGACATCACCCCAAATTAGCACACAAAGAAAGAAAAGACTGAGAACAGGTGGACAGAATGCTAAGAGAAATTCAGGTACTGGAGGAAAAGAAAGTGGCAGGAGAATGGAAAAGTTTTAAGAATGCAATTTTCAATAGAAAACACTGATAGATGTTACATATAAGAAATATGATAACTTTTCATTTGAGTCAAAGATCATTCACCAATAGGGTGATATGTGTTTGAACTTACTTGAATAATCGCAGTTAATTTTGTCCTATCATCAAATCATCATCATCATCATTACTATTATTCCTAGCATTTGCTGGACAGCACTTATTTTCCTTTACTATCTGAAGTTCCCAAGAATGGGTCAGAAGCAAGACTGTTCTCTTTCTTATTTTCACACTGTAAAGATCAAATTACTGTCTTTAAAAATAAATTACTAAGGAAATATTTTATAAAGAAAATTATCACTATTAATTATGTAGCTCTTAGGATAAAACCCAGGATCTTTTACTTGTGAGGCATAATGTTCTACACGCGAGGCATGTTTCTAGCATAAAGCTCTATTATTCTATGATATTGAAAATAAATATCAGTAATTTAAACTATTCTTCATGTTCCTCTTAACACAGAGCCAATATGAAGCAACTGTGTTGATTTTATCTTTTAAGAAATGATAAATTAAGTTAAAGAATAATTTTGTATAATAAAACAAATAAAACTTTACCAATGATAATTCAGTTGGGGGTAATCTCCTTCCTCTTAGTTAGATGTTGTTGACTTAGGTACACCAAGGGGAGGAAATACCTCTAAGCTTATTGACACCATTCTGTTTTTTGATATTTAGAAACTTCAGATTAGAATAGACATTTGAGATAATTTTTTTGTGTGTGAAGGGAGCTTCAAAGCTGTGTTTAGGAGGCGTGAGGGCCACTCATGTTGATATTAGGTCAACTGGGCTGGAGGTTGAGTGCAAGGGCAAGAGTATGAGGTGTTTCTTGAGCCTTCTGATTCAAGGACCACCAGGCTACTGCAGCAGTGCTCAGTGGTCTCCCTAGCCACATCTGATTTTGCCTAGGAGGTCACATGGTGCCAGATATGAAAACCTTATACTATCTTCCCAGCCCAGTGGAAGAGAATTTAAACATGAATAGTTAAAACGGGAAAGACTTAAAGTGGGTATTTCTCTGCTTACCATTTTAGTGGAGGAATCATAAGGAATGTATCTGAGAGGATTAAAACAATCATATCTCAGAAGAGCAGAAAATGATCTAAAGTGGAGTAATTTTTAAAGTCACAATGATATAGGGCTAGGTGAGGAGACAGCTAAGAGTGTAAAGTCCCTTCTGCCTTTCCCACAAGAGAGTGACAAGGGCAAATAATTAAACAAATTCTAACTGTCTACACATATGTTTCCTTTCTTCTTGCGGTTGAATTTGATTATTGAAGGTCAAGTTTCCTGACATAAGCCTACCCTCTGCACCTCCAAGGTTTTCTGCTCAGTTTTGAGTAATTAGGTGCCTGAGAGGTTAAGATAGGATGACCTTTAGCAATTCCTTTTTTATTGTTAAGATACAGATGATTGTCTTATAAAAGTGTGAAGCTCAAATAATGGAGGGCATTTGTGTAAAAGATATTTCTATTTGGGGTAAAAAGGCTAATGGGAAGCAATAAATTGTACAGCAACAATAATTTCCCTGTCATAGCTAGGCCTGTGAATAATCCAATAAGGCATGCCATATTAGAGAAATATATTCTTTGTGTTTCTTTAGGTAATTAATAGCAATTTATTTTTAATCTTATTATATACTATTAAGCTAACTAGTCAATGGAGCTAAAAATTATCCTAACATATTTGAAGTGCTTGCATATTTTGTATTCAACTTATAAAAAATTATGCTAAATCATCTCTTTCAATTTCAACTTATTTTTATGTACTTGATCTAATAAGACCCGTAGTATAATATACTCCTTTGATAAATTCCAATTAATTTTCCCAGACTTTTTTTGTATTATCGCTATTTTAATTTTCTGTGTATATTTGTTTTGCAGTTAGTGATGGCTCCGGTTTTGCTTCTCTTTTGGATGGCTACTACCACATAGAATCTGCATGTCCTACTGCATTCCAGGAAAACAAAAATTTTTGGTTTCAGAGTCAGCTTGGTAGTAAAACACAAAATAAAACCAAACTGTTGTATGGGTCACAAGTCTAGCAGAGCATCAGGTGAATGGGACCAGTCTTTCTTCTCAAAGATCAGAGGTTAAGCACTTGGAAAGAAGATTTTGCCAAGATGACCCATCTACAGGCTGGACTCAGTCCAGAGACTATAGAGAAAGCTCGCCTGGAACTAAATGAAAACCCAGATGTTTTGCATCAAGACATTCAGCAAGTCAGGGACATGATCATCACCAGGCCTGACATCGGGTTTTTACGTACAGATGATGCCTTCATCCTGAGATTTCTCCGAGCCAGGAAGTTTCACCAAGCAGATGCCTTTAGACTCCTGGCTCAGTACTTCCAGTACCGCCAGCTAAACCTGGACATGTTCAAAAACTTCAAAGCTGATGACCCTGGTATTAAGAGGGCTCTCATTGATGGATTTCCTGGAGTGCTGGAAAACCGAGATCACTATGGCAGGAAGATTCTTCTGTTGTTTGCTGCCAATTGGGATCAGAGTAGGTAAATGTAGATAGTGTCTTTACTTGGTTTTTCTTTTCATAAATGCATTCTCTGCATGTTTGGGACTGTATGGCTTTAAAGACAGTGGGCTTTTGTTTTTAAAAGGCACTCCATAAACCCACAAATAGAGTTTTAAAGCTATAGGTTGTTTGTAATCAAAAGGCAACTTCAGATTTCAGCACTGTTTCAGAAGTTAGATGTCACTATTCTATTCATCAAAGGGAATTATGTATTTTTATGAAATAGAAAACTGGGGGCTAGAGATAAGGGGCTGTAGGACATTCCTTTCTTGTGTTAAATCCTGGGCACCACATGACCTCCTGAGCATCAGTGGATGAGTCCCTAAGTCTCCACTAATGTAACCCAGTTGCTCCCTGGCCATTGCAGGACTCTAGCACTGAATCTCTAATCTGATTGACTAGATATCACCAGGAGTGACCTCCATGTCTCTTGAGCATCACTTGTGAGTCCCACTTCATAAGAAAGGAAGAAACTAAGAGAAAATTAGAAAGAAAGAAAGAGAGAGAGAGAGAAAGAAAGAAAGAAAGAAAGAAAGAAAGAAAGAAAGAAAGAAAGAAAGAAAGAGAGAAAGAAGAAAGAAAAAAGAAAGGAAGGAAGGAAGGAGGAACGGGGGAAAGAAGGAAAGAAAGCAGGAAAGAATGGAGGAAAGAAAGGAGGAAAGAAAGATAAATAAAAAATGACGTCTAGATCCAGAATATTCTGATTTCAATGTATTCACTTAATAATGGGAAAAATCATTTCAGTAGATGTTCCTCAACACTAATTTCTGGATTTTCACTGCTTTTAATACACTGTATCCCTTCTGAGTACCAAATATTTCTTTTCTTTTCCCTCTTTATTTAAACACTGTGGTTTACAAAGTTGTTCATTATTATTTAGTACAGGCATTTACTTTTCCAACATCAGTCCACTACCACAGTTACCTTTCCTCTACCACTGTCTCCATTGTACAACCATTCCTAAAGTCTGCTCCCATAAGAGGCACAGGATAATTCATTTTTTATTGCTTGTTACCACTAAATTGCTACTGTAATGATGAAAAAATACTTAAGTAAAACAAAATTTGTGAAAGTTTTTGTATCTTACCACAGTACACTAAGTCTTTGTCTGAGGGTTTACTGTTGCTAGTTAAGCCTTTTGTGTTATGTTTTTGTTAGTTGAGTTTAGTTGTATTCTATGTTATATTCCAATCCAATCTATATAGTCCTACTGGGATGTTAGTATTGTGGAGTTTGGAGATGTTGCTCCAGAAAGTTCAGAATATTTCAGCTAGGTTCACTAGGAAGTGAAACTTACATGGCGGTGACAGTAGAACATGGGTGTGGCTTCTGGAGCTTCCAGAAGTATGGAGATACGAGAGGTTTCCTACACTGACTCTTAGAAGGCCTAGAACTTTCAGCCAAAAAACCCCCTAGTATACCAGAAATTTTTGGCAGATTGGTGTCTTTATGGACCTCAGTTGTGAGATGTTGTGTGGGTTTTTCTTCTATGTCTCTGTCTCTCTCTCTCTCTCTCTCTCTCTCTCCTTTTGGGCATTGTCTGGCTTGAGGCTTGGTGGCAGTTGTTGGGGTGTGAGTGTGGCAGCCAGGGCTTTGATAGGGCAGGAACTTGATCCACCCCTCTCCTGAGGTCTCAGAAGCCCTGTAGGTCTCAGCTGGGACAGGTGTGTCTAAGAACTTTACTTGTATTATTTATTTATTTATTTATATATTCATTTTATTAATTTTTTTTGTTGAATCACTGTGAGATAGACACAAAGCTGTTCAAGATTAGATTTCACACAATATTCCAACACCCATCTTTCCACCAGTGTATATTTCCCAGCACCAATATCCCCAAGTTCCCTTCTAACACCCCTTACCCTCCTATCCATGCCTGCCTCAATGGAGGGGCTTTCCTTCTCTCTGTGTCTCTGTCTCTCTCTGTTTCTCTCTCTCCATCTCTTTCTCTCTCTCTCCTTTTGGGCATCGTGATTTGCTACATTGATACTATGAGGTTATCAAGAATATTCCTTTACCTATTTTAATACTCAGAACTTGTCCAGCGCGATCATTCTGAGCTATTGTTATCATACTAATCTCTTCTTTGTCTTACCTACCCTCCGCCCTACATGTATTTGTAGTTGATTCCAACCATTGACCAGTCCTCCTAACCCCTGTTTCCCCGATCATGGATATTTGTGTTCTACTATATATTTTTTATATGCCACAAATGAATGTAGTCATTCTATATCTGTCCTTCTCCTTCTGACTCAGCTCACTCAGCAAGATACTCTTCATGTCCATACATTTATAGGCAAATTTCATGAATTCATTTTTTCTAACAGATGCATAGTATTCTATTGTGTAGATGTGCCATAGTTTCTTTTTCATTTTCTGTTCCTGGGCACTCAGGTTGTTTCCAGATTCTGGCTATTGTGAATAATGCTGCAATGAACATAGGAGTGTGTTTAAGAACTTTTACTGCTAGTTGATCTCTTTTGATATTTAATTATGAATGTCTGCATCAGGGCTGGTAGATGACTTACATGTTGGTGGCAGTGAGATGTGGAAATGGCTTCCTGGGCTTCCAGAAGTATGGGGAGGTGGGGGAAGGTCTCCCACATGAACTCGAAAAGGCTCAGAGTTTTCAGCAAAGAATTCCCAGTGTACCTGAAGTTTTGGACAGTTTCCGAGTGCCAAATATTTCTATATAAATATCTGCAAGACATGACATTTTTTTCCCATGGAAGGCTTATATAGAAACATGAACTGAGAATGTCCCAAACTGAATGCATTACCTTCTCTCTACATGCTCTGCCTTCCAACCAGGCTCTCAGTACAAAACTCTGGGTTCATTCCTAGCTGTTTCTTTTTTTTGCTTTTCTCATCCGCTTAACCATTAGTTCCTACCACTTATTTTTTAAAGAGCATTTAAAATTTCTTTGCTTCATTGATACTGCATTTCACATCTGTATTACTACAACAGACTTCCACTGATATTCATGTTTTTGTTCTTGATTCATCTGAGTCTTTCTAGTTCACATCATGCTTAGAGAGGGACCTCTCCAAAATTCTATGACATTCTGTTTATTAAAATTATTCATTGATCTCCTATGTCCTTGATGTTAGGTAAGGACTTTATAATTCACCTTATCCATCTCTTATTCTGCTATACTGCCTTTCTTCACATTCTTTGGTCCAGCTATCAAAATATAAGCCTTCTCATTATGAGCTGGACTTTTACATGACACTAAACATTTGATCATTGCCCTAATAACAGAAACCTCAAGGAGAGACCAATCACACTTTTTCTAATCCCAAACATTTCTACTAATTCTTCTTCCTTTCTTCTTCTTCTTCTTCTTCTTCTTCTTCTTCTTCTTCTTCTTCTTCTTCTTCTTCTTCTTCTTCTTCTTCTTCTTCTTCTTCTTCTCCTCCTCCTCCTCCTCCTCCTCCTCCTTCTCCTCCTCCTCCTCCTCCTCCTCCTCCTCCTTCTTCTTCCTCCCTCCTTTCAAAATTATCTGCATTAGCACCTCCCCATTCCCACGTTCCATGCTTTTGGAGAGATTTGTTTGTATGCTGGTGATTAAAGTAGGCCAAAATAAAGTGTGTAAGAACCACTGCTATCATCATATTTTTGAATACTTCTGAATTCTCTTAAAAATAATATGTTTGTGCTCAATTATTCATAATCATGAATGATATTTTCATTATAATCCAGTCCTTAACATGTTCTGTTAAGCATTTTTGTGTAATTTCATTTATGCCACCTAAAATTTACAAGATAGTATTATTATTATAATCTATAATTCACATTTATGATACAGGCTTTGAAAAGATAAGTAACTCACAGAATGTCATGTAACTAGTAGAGTATGGAGTGGGACTTGAGTTCTAATAGTCTGATTTGAAAGCCTCTTGTCCTAACCTGCTTTGTTGTGATGCCTTTAAGTGCATTCTCATTCCCCTCCTCCCAAGACTACAAGTATTTTGTGGGCAAGAGAGAATGTCTTTCCATGTTTTTTTCTTTGAAGTGTGGCATTATTTTAACCAATATTCAATAACTGTTGAATAAAAATGGATGAATAAATCAAATTTTAGAACTTCCCTTATGGTTTTAAATTTCATGGATGTGTTGGAGTCATAGGTCTAACTTTAAAAACAGAAGCCTTTCCTTCAAAATTATTAAAAGGAATTTATAGGGTGATCCTCGCCATCTCATATTTATGACTCCTTTTAAAAATAATAATACATTTATGCTCAATTATTCCATAATCATGAATGATGATAATTTCACTGTAATTCAGTCCTTATGAGAAGATTTTCAGGTGGTTACATTCACTTATTCATCATTAATTGACCATAAGAAGAGTTTGATTTAGGACTTTTATTAATATACTGAGGACAGTATTGCAAACAAAGGTCCTGGAAGCATAGACTATATATGTAACACAACTGTCAACCAATGATGTGAACATATAAGCAGATAACTCCTATTGTAATATCATTTCTTCTCAGATACCCAGACCATCTACAAAAGGCATCAGTTTTAGACAGTCATCACATAGAGAATGATATATAAATATTTTAGATTTTGAAACTAGAAGGTTTTTTTTTTAATTTTGAGGCCACACCTGACAATTCTTAGTCCTGGCGAGCTCTGGGGACTATATGGGATGCTAGGGATCAAACTCAGATAGGCTGTGTGTGAGGCAAAAGCCCTACCCACTCTACTATCTCTCTGGTCCCTAAATTAGATTATTTTGATTATTTTCTGGAGCATGATTGTATTGACTTTATTTGTTGCAGATTCTAGAAAATCAATCTGCTAAGATGGGTAAAGCACAGAACATCGGTAAATTGTTATTCACATATAAAGAAAATCAGAGTAAAATATCTTATTTTGTATTAGCACTATATATTAATGAGATATCTGAATATACTATCTGAATATACTTGAAAGCATGAAGATATAAGAAGAAACTTATTTATAAGGGA